TTCTCTTTTCTTCTTTTTAGTCCTCACTGGCTTTGAAACTTGCAACAAATATGAAATAAAGAATTCTTTGGGGCAAAGGGTGTACTTTGCTGCTGAGGAGTCTGATTGCTGTACACGCAATTGCTGTGGACCATCACGGCCCTTCACAATGAAAATCATGGACAATATGGGCCAGGAAGTCATAGAGCTCCTGAGACCTCTCAGATGCTCCAGTTGCTGCTTTCCTTGCTGCTTGCAAGAGGTAAATTGCTTGTTACTCCTCTGGTTCTTTTTTTAGAAAAACCATGTAATCATCAAGATGTGACCTTGTGAGATATCTGACATTCATTCCACACACTAGTTGTCGTCCTCTCATTCCTTCGCTTACTCCTCAGTATTCCCTTCAGAACTGTCTTTGCCTTTCCCTCCTCACCATTCATATACTCTTAAGTAGAGCTTGAGAAGCTTACTGTTTTGGACAACAACCCCAGCATCTGTTGGTCACCATGGTAGTAGCAGGCCTTGACTGTGATTTTCATATGCTGAGGAAAAATAAAGGTCTCCCTTACATGGTTCTTTTATTCCTTCCCCAGACTGTTGAAAAATGGCTCTGTGATGTTACCATAGTGAAATGTCTTTATTCAGTGATGCCCTACCCTGTACTCTACCTCAGGGTTGATAACTATGATTTTTTAAATGTTGCTAGACTGCAGTTTCATCATAGCAAGTCAGAAGACAAGGGGCAGAAAAACCACTCTTATTCACCCTATTCTACTCATTATGCTTCTATGGCAGCATAACAGGACAGCAGCCTGTACACGACTAATGGATACTTTTGACTTAACTATGGGGTTCTTCCTCCATATATTTACAATGTGTTGCAGAGAGCTATTTGTATTGGCATCATAGCTGGAGGGGAGTAGGGATTTTTCAGTTTTGTTCCTTCTTGCAGACTTTATATAGATTTTGCCTTTCACACCTACCATTTCTAAGGTCCTGTTAAAACACAAGGGACATATCTATGTGGACCATATCTACCCAGGGCAAGGGTGAGAATTGACCTTGAGGAGTCCACATGCCACACCGGTGCTTCTCACCCCAATGTGGTACAAGGCAGCTAAACACTGTTTTGCCCCCTCATTAACCAAAGTCGGGGAATGCTCCAGAGCTTCCTTTCACTTCAGGGGCATGTAAACAGTTCTGAACTGGGACTGATTCTATTGTTCACACAGCCTTACCAAGGTTCCACACTTTCCCTGTGCTCTGCACTGTGGGAGCAGGGGAGTGGCACCTGTTCTAAGTGATTATGTAATTTTAATTAATATCACTGTCTAATTGTTATGTAATGGATTTTATATTGCTGTTTTATATTGTTGTTTTGATATTGTTGGCATTGAATTGTTGCCTGTGTTAGCCGCCCTGAGTCCCCCCTCGGTGGTGAGAAGGGCAGGATAGAAATGGTCTAAATAAATAAATACCTTTGTGGCTTTGTCACCATTATCCCAGTCATCATGGACCTCAAAAGTTGCCTTTGCTGATGTTTGCAAGGGTGTATACATCAGAGAGGGGAGTGGGTTTACCTCCCTTTTTTCTTCCTTTTCCTCGTCTCATGGGCATCATTGCAAACTTCAACAATTGTGCTTTAGGACAGCCAGGAGTTCTTTGGAGCTTCATGGCCACTGTGATAATGGTGACAGGACTATGCAATAGGGAGAGCTGTCCAATAGAGCTGAAACAGATTCAGCCATGCTGAACAGTCACAGCTCTATCTCACTGCTGTGGCCAGACAGTAAGACTGGTGCAAATTACTGCACCCATCATCAGTCTGGGATTTTCTGCCTGTGTAGCTGCACCCAAGTGCACTTACCTAAATCCAAATTATTGAACCATGAAGTCTACTCAAGACTGGGCAACAATCAATGAATAGGAGACAAGTCCTTCCCCATCTTCCTGTATTTTGTTCAGATTGCCTCCTCCCACCCTGTCAGCTGGAGTGAGCAATGTTTTCAAGAACAGAACTAAACAGTTATTAGGGGATGCCTGTCTACTAACATAGTAAAGGTCTTAGGGATCATTTTAAAGTAGAAACATCTTCTTGCAGTTTTTAGATCTTTCTGTATTCTATTGATTTCTGTACAACTCAGGTCCTGTTGTAGATCCTCTGTTATGTTTCTGTGTTTTGTCTAATCATCCATTAACGAATTCATTGCTCCTTCAAAACTCAACTCCCTATAAAACTAGTTTATTTGTTTTGTTTGATTGTTTTTTTTACAGAATTTCAGTACACATAGGAAAATGAATTGAAGCAAAATCTTTTTTTTTCTGATTCAGCAGTATCTTGTTGTTTTCCTCTAGCTTGAAGTTCATGCCCCGCCTGGCACACCTGTAGGATATATTAAACAGACCTGGAGTCCCTGTTTACCTAAATTCACTATCCAGAATGCAGCCCGTGAAGATGTACTTAAAATTGTTGGACCCTGCATAGTATGCAGCTGTTGTTCAGATATTGATTTTGAAGTAAGTAACACTAGAACCTGTATTCTATCACAAGGATGGAACATGTGTGATTGTCTATTTGTTGTTGAAATACAACTCCGATCAGTAATTAGCCTACACATTAGTCGCAAGTGTGAGCACTGATAGGAGTTACAATTCTACATTTGGAGCCTTACCTGGTCCTCACTCTTTCTTTATCATTGGCCAAGGCCTGTAGAATGATGCAACTTTCCCTCTTGCCTCGCACACCTATTCTGTTCTCCAGTAATGGAAAAAAACTATTATGGGTAGCTTTTTGTTATTAGCATTCGTAGAACATCATCAGTTCCTGTATTACTTGTTGATCTTGTTTAATGGTTTTATTTTTTGGTTAAGAATTGTGTCTGCTGGATATGAAACAACCAGAAAAAAAAAACATGGCAGACATCTCCCCCCCCCCAAAAAAAAAATTGGGGCTCAGTTTTAAAAGAATATCATAAAAATTAAAGACAAATAGAAGTGACAGGTGCTGAGTGGGAGAAATGAAGCTCTCTAAGTGACCCCCTGCATTCACTGCACTAGCAGATTCAAATAATTTTCTTTCATTTTAAGAAGGGAAGTATAAATAGGACATAGACCAGTAATTTTAATATATATATATATATTGAAAATATCATAGTGAGTCATAGTGGTAACTGGTGGATTACAACTCTGGAGACCATCATCTAGGTCCCTGTTCAGCTATGGAAGGCTGCTGGGAGCCTGCTGTTGGCAAGTTATACTTTCTCAGTCGCCTTTCTGAACAAATCTTGCCAGGAAACTCACATGATAGGATCTCCTTAGGGTTGCCCATAAGTCAGAAATGCTTGAAGGCACCCAAAATTAGTACAGAAGTGGGGAATTGTAGCCTAGGACCTTTTTTTTAATTCAACATTCTCCCCCCTCTTCTAAACAATCTTTGGAGTCCTATAAACTCAGAGCAGGCCTATCTTTCACAAGTAAGAATAGCAGAAGTTATTTCAATTTAATTCCTTGATAAATAAAGCACTTTCCTCTGTCCTGGCACAGCTCATTTTAATGTCAAAAGTCCAGTGGCTGTAAAGGTAAAGGTAAAGATTTCCCCTGACATTAAGTCCAACTCTGGCAGGTGGTGCTCATCTCCATTTCTAAGCCAAAGAGCTGGCGTTGTCTGTAGACATCGCTAAGGTCATGTGGCCAGCGTTACGCCATGGAGCACTGTTACCTTCCCACAGAAGTGGTACCTATTGATCTATTCGTGTTTGCAAACTGCTAGGTTGGCAGAAGCTGGGCCTAGCAGCAGGAGCTCACCCCTCTCCCCAGATTTGAACCACCAGCCTTTTGGTGAGCAAATTCAGCAGCTCAGTAGTTTAACCCACTGTGCCACCTGGGGGCGGGGGGCAAAGTTTCATGCATTTTGAGTCCCTTTTTAATACTTCTTTTAATCTGCGTGCTTCCACCCTTGGTACTTGCCCAGACCTATTGTAGCAATACCTGTTCTCCCATCCAAATAATATTCCAGAACTGTTAACTACATACTGAAGGTTTAAATTAGAAGTGAACTTGAACTTGGAGTCCATAGTTTTGTTTGTTTTGATGTTTTCCTGTTGGAAAGCTATGTAAATACTGCCATTTCAATATTTGTGAAGAGTGGACCACTTTTGGGAATCAAAACATTTTTCACCATTCCTCCTAGGATTGCAGAAAGCATGTCAGAGTAACACACAGCCTTCCCCAAGTGCCAGAACTGTTACTCTTTTAGATAATGGATGTGGTTTTCTGCCTCTATCTAACATTTTAATGACAGCTTAGAAATATTACTTCACATACTACTTGATTTCCAATAATTATTTCTAATTATTTCTGTTTTTCATTATAATTCATTAATTTTTAATTATTATCATTTTTATTATTTATCAACGTTGTGAATTGCTTTCAGCATTTCCCCCACTTTTTGCAGGGAAGGAATAGCACTGTAGTTAGAAAATGTATCTGATTCTTAGAATTGTAATTTCTCAACTTTGAATGACAGCTGTTTAGAATGTGATCACTCTTAAGATGCTGGAATTATTTGTTTTTAATGGGTCCTTTTAAAATACCCTGAAGGCCAATGGTTAAATGATGGGTAATTTAAAAATGAGCTAATACAATAAAATATCTAATCCTTGCATAAGATATTTGCTTGCAATTTCCCTTTCCTACCTGTAAAAACACCTGGCACTCGCTTCATGGATGTTAAATATATGCCTTTACTGATACATCTTTTCTCACACATGTACATTTTATCTTGCTCACATTCACACCTTTTCACATTCTCCTTCCTCCTTTCTTTAAAGGTGATGTCAAAGGATGAGAAGAACACAGTCGGAAAAATCTCTAAGCAGTGGACCGGTTTCGTAAGGGAGGCATTTACAGATGCTGACAATTTTGGCATCCAGTTCCCACAGGACCTCGATGTCAAAATGAAAGCTGTCATGCTTGGGGCTTGCTTCCTCATTGTAAGTGTAATGGTCTTTTCGGCTTTGCTATTCATAATCTTATTATTTATCGAGATGAAACAGATGCCCATATAATTTGAGGCATAGATAAGGCCCATAACGTTATACAGAGAAACACTTTCAGCCCTTTGAGTCTATCTGGTTCCTTATATCTGGAGAGAATGCCATGTAGATATTGTAAGTGATTAATTAAAAGAAATGGGGTTTGTTGACACTTGCTAAAATTACAGTAAGCAACTTAATATTGACATAAGTCATTAATTGCATTGCCGTAGCTCTCTGTCAGTAGTTCTTAACCTGTGGATGAGGGACCACTAGTGGGCTGCGAGGATGAAAATCTGGTTCATGAGCCTCCTTTTTCTTTATTTCTTTTTTTATTTCCAGTTCTTTTGCATCACCTGCCATTTCTTTCCTGTTGATGACCAGCCCCTTGGATAGACCACATCAGCTCTAGATTATTAAATATGGTTTTCTGTGGGTGAGCAGATTGCAACTACTGGATGGCATATTTCTTTATCAGAAACCAGAGCCGATGTGGTCTATCCAGTGCAATTTTCTGAATCAGTGCCCAAATAACCAAACCAAATCTAAAGTTGACCAAAAACTGATTTGTAGCCCTTTTGGTGCTAATGTTGGAGAGTGGTCCCTGGTCAAAGTGGTCCCTGGTCAAAAAAAGGTTGGGTACCATTTCTTTAGATAATATTTACAATTAAGCAACCTAACAGCCAGATATGGAAGGGAACCATCCAATTCCTGACCGTCCAATCATATAAATGAATAGCAAAAATATGAGGAATTGGTGTATATACTCAGGTATAAGTCATCCTCATATATAAGTCAAGGAGCGGATTTGGGGGCCAAAATTGCTGATTTTGATATGACCCATGAATAAGTAGAAGGTCATTCCATAGAGAGGGGGAAGCACCAGTGCTAGCCATACCTGGTCTTCCACTATTTCCCCATAAGTATTCAAAAAGGTCAGAAGTGATGCCACAGCAGAGGGAGTAGAGGGGGTTGATGCTTCTTTTAGGTTCTCCCTGAAAGGGACAGACTAAGCTCTTGTCTTCCATCATCCAATGAAGGAGGTTTCTTCTTTCTATATATAAGAGTTAAGGCACAGTATTCACATTGACCTGTGAATAAGTTGACTTAGGTTTTTGGGTCGATTTTTTCTACTACAATTTCAAGACTTATACATGAGTTTATAGGGTTAATGCAATTCTTCAGGTGACAGAGTTGACTATTTCCTAGGTTGCGCTTGGACAATACTCTTAACTCATTAGCTGTGTGAGTTTTTTTCCTGTAGAAATGCTTGTTTTCTGTCAAAACCATTTTCTTATTTGTGAGTGGAACAATCTCCCAGCCAAGCTTCTTACAAAGATCTAAAACAGCCAAAATTTTAAAAAGCCAAAAGAGGGATACTATGGAGGAGAGATTAACTATATAATATTTCATTTCTACAAATTTGTGGCAAATCCATATTTTTTCCAGAGTACAGAAATACTCTAAATTCTTGTGCAAAATTTGGATATGTTGAAAGTAGGCTGATAGGCATATGAATTTGGATTTAATTGCTATTGTATCAGTACAGCTGTCCCTTGACCATATTTGTCAGAATTTTACTTTGAGATCTGCAACAAAAATAGGAGCACTCCATACTTCAAACATGTTTTCAAGTTTTTCTGCTGTGATGGCAGTAAGTTGCATTTGTGAGTCCCAATTTATTTATTTTCTTTTTAGAGCCATGTCCCTGTGTTAAAGCCATCAAAATTAAAATAGAAAAAACTTATATTTTACTTTTATTTTCATCAGTTACTATTTGTTGTTGTTTCTTCTTTTGTAGGACTTCATGTTTTTTGAACATGGACAAGATCGTAACCAGAGAGCTGGCGTCTGGTAACATGTGGCCTGTACACTGCTTCAGAGGAAAACACTGTGTTAATTCTGTCCTTGCTTATCGTAAATGAAGATTCTGATAGTTTTTTTTTTTCATTTTAAAAATTGGTAATGTGGCTACATCTTTTGCACCTGTAGCATTTATTTATGAAAGCTGCTCTATACTTGTTTATATAACTATTTTTATATGTCCAGTGTATTCATAATAAGATGGATCCTTCCTCTTCCATATGCAGCGCCATGGAGCCATTCCACATATTGAAAAATATTGTGCCTTGTGACTTTAAAACCAAAGGTTATGTCTGTGTTTTATATGTACATATAACATAAACTTTTATGATATTGCCTCCAGCAGTTTATTGGAATCAAATAGCACCTTACTCTACAGTGCATATGGTGTGCATACATCTATAAGGCTCTTTATCTCTTTCTCTACCTCATGCATGCATGCACACACACACACACAAGTAAAAATATTAAACTGAGGGAAATTGCAGTGACAATTGTATGGAGACATATATAGCAGGAGTGTTTATAATTATATGGCATTGGCATTTTTGTCAGTATGGGAAAGACATCTTGAAGTCTTGCTCTTACCACAAACTCTGGTGGGAAGGCTTTTAGTTATTTTTCCTTCAACTTAAATGAGAGAGGTAGCTCCTCCCCACTATTTCCATCCTCTTTCACATATTGAGTGATTTTATTCATTTGAGAATTAAAAACACTTTTTCTAGGACTTTTTGCTAGTTCCCTTCTTTCTGGACAGGAATTCTACCCTGAGTTGGGAAATGGATAACATTCTAATCACTGAGGTCTCTTTGGACAAGGAGTGCTCCGTGGATGAGCATAGCATCTTTGACATGTTTTATTCTAAAAGAAGGTTGGTCTACCCTTGCAAGAATAATATAATAATAATAAAATTTTATTTCTAAACCATCTCTCCCCGGAGGGACTCAGGGCAGCTTCCAAATACAAAGGCTAATATTCAGTGCAATATGTAAATATAAAAACACAGCGCAGTAAAATAGCAAATCATAGTTAAAAGAAGACCAGGCACTGTGCTAGTTCAGGCAGCAGAGCTGCATGTCAATGTTTTACTTCACAGAGCTTTGGTTACATGGATAATTGATGTTGATTACTTCTAATTCATTTTTGTTGGGGGGCAAGTTCTCCATCCAGACTGCTGCTGGTGGGTTTATATTTATGTCCAACAGGCTGTGACAAGCCAGGGGGGCAAAGGTGAGTAGGAATTGGTTTGGGCAGTTCCTCAGCTAAATACTAGACCAAGCATGCATACCTGTGGCAAGCTCCAAAGAGGACACTAAAGGAGACTACTGAATGCCACCTATGGGAAAAGAGTGGTAAATATAATATAATATAATATAATATAATATAATATAATATAATAAAGTATGCTCATGCCATAAGTAGTCAATAATAATAATAATAACAGCAACAACTTTATTTCTATACCCCACCTCTATCTCCCTGAAGGGATTCAGGGTGGCTTACATATGGCACAATGTGCCAAGACAAAGCAGAAAATAAACACATAGTACAATACAATAAAGTAAAAATGATAGCATATAAAATCAACAGTTTAAAACTCATAACAATGCCCAATGACTTATGATGACAAATTGACATGGCCAAATTGTAAATAAGACAAGTGAATGGGATAGTGCAAATTGTAGCTAAGGAACAGGGCATGGGATAAAAGTGCAGTGCTGTATCGTTGATTGCGAACCATTGGGCTAGACATTATCAAAGGCTTGTTTAAACATACAAGTCTTCAGATACCTACAAAAGGAAGACAGTGTGGGGGCCTGCCTAATCTCCCTGAAGAATGCATTCCGAAGCCAGGGGGGCCACCATCGACAAGGCCCTCTTCCTCGTCCCCACCAACCACACTTTTGACAGTGGTGGGACCGAGAAGAGGGCCTCCCTGGCATATTGTAATGCTTGAGCAGGTACATAGAGGGATGCAGTCACAAAGGTAGACAGGGCCCCAAAGCATTTAGGGTTTTATAGGTAATAGCCTGCACTTTAAATTGAGACCAGAATCTTATCGGCAGCCAGTGCAGCTGCTTTAGTAGGGGTATTGTGTTCTCCATATAGCCAGCTCCAGTTAGTAATCTGGCAGCCAATATTTGTACCAATTATAGTTTCTGAGCTGCAATTAATACAAATAATACATTCCTCTTTGTCTTCAGCATCACCTGATACCCATCAGTTCAGTTGTGCAATTGAGAGGGTTGCATCCCCTTCTCTGCCCTGTCCCCCAAAGCCTAGGAAAAAACTTCAGTAATGTTTTGCTATAACAGAAATTGCAAAGTATTCTGGTATCCACAGCCCCCCACTTCCCGCTTCTCTGGGAGGTGAAGGCAGGCTCCTCTCAGTTCCCTCTGGAGCCTTCTCTTAATTCTCCAGTCAAGTTATTTTCTCCTGAAGAGTTTGCTGTGTTCTTAAGGAAGGTGGAAAACACTTGAATAGGCCCCTGGAGAATGGGTCTCACTCTTTGATGAAGGTGTTGGATAAATTTCCAGAAATCACAACCCAAAAATAAACAAGGTGTGTCTTATCCCCCTTTCTTGAAGTTATGCAGGTACCATGGTGGGAGAATGGATTCACTCATGTACCTTAGGACTGTTCCTTTCCTCTTGAGGTTTTAGAGAAATGAAAAGTCCCTCTTATTGATACCTTTGTTGCAGCTCTCATGTCAACTGTGTTATTCCCCAGAGATAGTTATGACCCTCCCTCCAAAAATGTGAAGGTTAAAAAGAGTCTTTCCAGTGTAGAATGCATCTTGGAACACCTTCTGTGATATCACTTTTTGCCAGGACAGCTATCAAGCGGGCCAAGAAATTCTGCAAATTTCTTCTAAGGAGGTTCATATTGGACAGGGCATTAGTAAATTGGTTAAAGCATATTTTTATGGAGGATGCCAATACTGACTCTGCAGTTTTCATCTCAGGCCATTGTCACTGGTGTGTCCTGTATTAATTTAAGTACCTATTTTTTTTTAAAAAAAATAATGATCTAAATTGTTTGGGGAAGCTGTAAATGAGATTTTTATGAAAACTGGGCATAAGGGGGGAAAAGCACTGCTACCTGCTTCCAAGAAGAAAAGAGAACATTTCAGGATGCAGCCCCAACACTAAACCCATTTTGACCAATGAGCCACATCAGAAACAACATCATTATCCCTGTTTTAATAGCGGACTTATGCACCCATCCACTCCACAACACAACAGAAACAACCATGGATGACAGTCATCTCTATTGCTCATGGTGGCTGCCATTGTGAGTTGGGAAGACCTCCTTCAGTTTGCCCACCATTGGGAATGAAACCTTTCTAATGCTTCTTTTCTATAAACAAAGCAGATTTTCTACACAAGCTCCCAGACTTGTTTATTCAGTTGCATCACTCTCTATATGCTTCCGATCAGGACCATAGTGTTGCAGCAGACAGCAGCCTGTCTGTTGGGACGCAAATGGGGTGGAAGAATGACACTAGGCTAGAGCAGAGTTCCAAGTTCAAAGCTTTACTGTTCCAATGGGAAAGGGTGAGAAACCTCAGCCCAGGAGCTGAATCAAGGGGTTTCCACACACCATGATTTAAACAGAGCACATATTTATATACAATTGCTTACATAACTTGTTGACAAAGATCAATTATTAATACAAAGAAAAAAAAATCTTAATCATCTTGATAATCATTTAGAACTTCTGAAGTCAGCATGGGTGGTGTGTTTTGGGTCATATTCCAATATCCCCTATGACTTTATGCTGGTCAGCAGTTCTGACATGTCCGGGTTAAGTAATTCATTCTTCATATTTCTAAAGAGTCATACCTTCTATATAGTTTTTACTGTAATTACATTAAGATAGCAGGTGGCATTCCAATACTCAGGTACTATTCTGACCTTAGTGGGGTCATTGGGCAGATCATGTTTATTGTCTTTTATCTATGTCATATGCTTGTTTATTGATATCGATTTTGTCTAAAGTACAGAGCCTTTGGTTCCCTAATCTGATAATAACCATGATTATCTTATTCAGTGAGAACAAGTTGACTGGGTACTAACCGTAGAGGTAAAATCAGGTTATATGGTAGAGTCTCTGTATTAGTCTTTTAATAAATCTTTAAGGGGTGCTGCCTCAATAGAACCAGTTCCTTCAGCCCAGAGATTTTTTATTTGTCAAAAAATGGGGAATAGAGGAATAATAGGCCCATTAGACACAATAAAACAGGTTTAACTGAAGGAACATTTCATTTGGAGATTGGTGTATCATTGACTATCAAGCAAAAAGTGGGTGCTAGAAACAATATCATACGAAAGTTGACTGGCACAGCCTGGTGATCACAACTAGATATAGTGAAGACATCTGCCCTTGTGCTTTGCTACTCCGCTCCTGAATACACATGCCTAGTATGGAATACATCTCACCATGTTAAAACAGTGGATGTGGCTCTTAATGAGACATGCCGCATTATCACAGGAACACTACCTGATATCTGCAGGGAAGTAGCAGCTAGCAATGAAAGGACCAAGGTACTGACATTTCTGGCCCATCCTCTGTTCAGCAATCAGCCAGCATGCCAATGACTTAAATCAAGAAACAGCTTCCTAAGATCTACAGACGCACAGTGGTGGGCAAAAGCTTGGAACCTCAGTCAGTGGCTGATACCAGATGAGAAACTTCTTCCTGGTCAGAGAGAAGACTAGGCAACTAGGAAGGCACTGAACAGACTGCACTCTGGTATGATGAGATCCAGAGCCAATCTTAAGAAATGGGGCTACAAAGCAGAGTCCATGACATTCGAGTGTGGAAAAGAGCAAACCACTGACCACTTACTGCAATGCAGCCTGAGCCCTGTCACATGCACAATGGAGGACCTTCTTGCAGCAACACCAGAGGCACTCCAAGTGGCCAGCTACTGGTCAAAGGACATTTAATAGAATACCAAGTCTGCAAACTTTGTGTTTTGTTTGTTTGTTTTTAATGCAATACAACTGTTTTGGTTCGTTCCTGACATGATAAATAAATAAGCCTGTACCAACCAGATACCATTGGCCACTGTACAATTCAGACAGGGCCAAGGGATTGGACACACAACATAGAATTTATCCTTTGTCTCTGAACAATATTGGCATGCTCCTGACATATCTTGTTTCAAAACCTGTTTCCTGTTTGCTTAGAATATGTGGCTGTGGGTGTATTTCTGTTTGGGAAAGTTTTAAGCACACACAAAAAAATGTGTAACTCTTTTGAATCTTGTTGATAAAAAATGTCTGTGGCAGACTTTTTGTGTGTCTTTTCAGCGATTGTAGTTAAAAATTGTGCAAAGTACAGAAGAAAGGAATTACTTTCCTGAACAGATTGGTAAAAGTTGTTGTGCCTTCATACAGAATTTTATCAAGCATTATTGTTAAATTTAGCGTGCCAGCTTAGTCATTTTGGCTTCTAGGGAAGGGATAATTCAGGCTTTTCAAACATTTTGGCAACACACTTTTTAAATAGGCATTATTTTGCAACATGGTAATTCAATTTTACCAGCAAATTGGAGGTTAAACCAACCCCTTATAAGAGACACAGAAGCATACATAAATTCTAATAATGAATGGTATGGGACATACCATATCTCATGGAAACCATTCAATTATATTTTAAAAAATGTATAATTTGTATGATTATTTTTTTTTGTCATGTCAGGAGCAACCGCTCCTGTTG